ATTTGTTAAAAAGAGTCCAAGTGGTATTTGGGTCCTTTCCCCGGGAGATGTGTCATATAACCCTACATTGTACCCATTATGTGGGAGTTTACTGGGCCCCTGCCTCACCTTCCACCCTCCCCCTTCCTGAATTTAATTGTGTTTTTCCTCTCTCATGGGTTTGTCTTTGTTCATATACTAGTTTCAAATTACTATTAAGTACATGGGATGCTTGTTTTTCCATTCTTGAGTCACTTTACTGAGGAGAATGCTCTTCAACTCCATCCATGTAAATACAAAAGATGTAAAGTCTCCATTTTTATGACTGAATAGTATTTGGTGGTCTACATATACCACAGTTAATTAAGCCACTCATATGTTGATTTTTATTCTTGAGAAGTTGAAGTAGACAACATATTTCCCTCTCCTCCTTCAATCTTCATTAATTTATTTATTTATTCATTTTGTGGCAAATACTGTCTTTTGTATGCCAGGCACTCGAGATACTTGAGAGAAACCAGATGAAGTCTCTGCCATGATACACCTTACTTCCTTATAAGGGAAACTATCATTAACTTAAAAACAGTAAAAATTTCAAACAAAATAAATATGATTATATCCTCCATATTACAACTGTAGTCATTCGTGAATGTGCTGCAACAGGATAGAAAAGGTTGATATGACAACCAAAGAGACAAAGGAAGACAACCCTGAAAACGTCACCAATTGAACTGAGATAGTAAGGATGAATGGGAGCTGATTAAGAGGGAAGAGAAGCACAGTGGTGCAGTTGAGGGGACGAGATGGCCATGCAGCCACTGTGCCTGGGAGCAGAGAATGGGTGAACTGTGGTGAAAGATGAGGCTGGGGAAGTACCTTGAAGTTAGAGTAGAGTCAGTTTTTTAAGACTTGTTAGGGATTGCATACTTTTCAAAAGAGCAATGGTTTCGTAAATACCTAGTTTTGAACAAAAAAAAATTACATGATTTTATTTTCATTTTTTAAAAGATCACTCTGGTTGCAGTGTGAAAAACAGATTAGACTGGCAAGAGCGGGCATGTGAAACCATTTGGGAGGTTATGCATTACTCTCATCAGGCAACCATAGCTTGAACTGGAATAGTTACTGTGTAGATAGACAGAAACATGTATTCAGTTCCCACTACGTGACAGTCACTAAGCTATGTACAATTATGCAGCCTCTGACTTCCAAAGGATCATGGTAAAAAAGACAGATTCACTGGGCTGGGTGCAGTAGTTGATGCCTGTAATCCTCGTGCTCTGGGATGCTGAGGCGGGTGGATTCCCTGAGCTCACGAGTTCAAGACCAGCCTAAGCCAGAGCAAGACTTATCTCTAAAAATAGCCGGGCACTGTGGCGCATGTGTGTAGTCCCAACTACTCAGGAGGTTGAGACAAGAGAATTGCTTGAGCCCAAGAGTTGGTGTGAGCTATGACACCACAGCACTCCTACTACAGGCAACAGAGTGAGACTCTTGTCTCAAAAAAAGGGGAAAAGAAAAATAGATTCACAAACTAGTAGTTATGCCATTGCATAATCCAAAGTTTAACGCAGCTTTTTCACAGTTAAAGAATTCCAGGAAGCCTTTGTTTTGCTCACTCTATCTTCATGCCTCCTCAGTTGAATTCCAACTCTTGTCCTTCCCATGGCTATTTTAGTTTCTTTTCTTCATTCCTCAGACTGGTGATATGAAGACAACCCATTGCCAAGAGACAGGATCCAGGATGTTGCCCACACCAAAGCCTGAAGTGAGTGAATCATCTTCATACTAATTCTTCTTTATAAGGCAAAAAAGGTCCAGAATGAACTGCAGCAAGTCCCCTGACTTTGTCCTCTCGGGGTTATCCAGTGACCCAGAGAAAGGGAAGCTCCTCTTTGGTCTTTTTTTAGCTCTCTACTTGCTAGGCCTCCTAGGGAATTTGCTACTTCTGCTGGCCATCGGAGCTAACGTATGCCTTCACACTCCCATGTATTTCTTCCTCAGCCAGCTCTCCCTGGTAGATCTCTGCTTCACTACCACCACAGCCCCTAAAACGCTGAGGACTTTGTGGACCAGCAATGGATCCATCTCTTTCTCTGGATGTCTGACGCAATTATATTTCTTTGCTGTTTTTGCTGACATGGACAGCCTACTTTTAACGGTCATGGCTATTGACCGCTATGCTGCCATTTGCCATCCTCTGTACTATTCACTCCTAATGACACCTTGCAGATGTGGGGTGATGGTCAGTGGGTCATGGGGAGTGGCCCACTCTGTCTCTCTAGTCCATACCCTATTGCTGTCTCGACTATCTTTCTATACTGGTCAAGAGATTCCTCACTTTTTTTGTGATTTTGGCCCACTCTTACGGCTTTCCTGCTCTGATGCCCATCTCAGTGAAGACCTGATTATGGCTCTGACAGGATTTTTAGGAATTAGTCCTCTACTCTGCATCATAGGCTCCTATGCCCATATTTTCCATGTTGTAACTAGGGTGCCATCAGCACAGGGGAGAAGAAAAGCCCTGGCCACATGCGGCTCCCATCTTTCTACAGTCGTCCTCTTCTATAGCACAGTCTTTGCCACCTACCTGAAGCCCCCATCAACTGCTCGCTCCTCTGAGGAGCAGGTTGCTGCTATCATGTATACCCTGGTAACTCCTACTCTAAACCCTTTCATTTACAGTCTAAGGAATAAGGATGTGAAGAGTTCTCTGAGAAGAATTCTGAGCATGAAGAGTTCTCAGGATTAGAAATACATGTAAATTTCAAAACCAAGTACTTTGGGAATAATGACTCCCAAGTATGTCACCGCATTTTTCCATTTTTACTCCTTAACTTCTTACAATATTTTATATACTATTTGTGTGCTTGTGCTATGTTTGAGAGTTTCTGGGGAGTGTGATTCTATGGTAAGAATTGGAAGCTAGCTAAAAGTAGGAGGATATTTTTAAATACTCTTTGTCTGGACTAAAAGAATATTTCTTACTTAAGTTTGTTATTTTGTTCTGAAATAGTTAAGTACTCAATGCAGCACTCAATGAATAAATTCTTCTTTCAAGTGTAGACTGTCAAAGTGTGACACAGGGAAAGGATAGATTTCATTGCTTTATAAAAAGAATGTACATAACTAGTTCAATCACCATGGTATGCTCAGTTTGTTTTTCCATATATACCACGTACTACATCAAACCAGAAACTGTGTAGTGTGTTTATTTGTACAGCCCTATATGGTTCATGTTACTATACATTGTAAAATATATAGCCTGATTAAACATCTGACAATTAATTCTATTCAAGAGAATAACTTAATATTAAACACATCTCTGACATAGGAAGAGTACCCCTAGGATTATCAGATTAGATTCTCTGCTTAGCATCTATATCTAAACTTTGCTTAACCCAGGCTTCTTTTCTTGATCATCTAGAAGGTAATACTTTCCTTCCAATTCTAATCTAATGACATGCAACAACATGTGTTCAGAAAATTGTTTTTAATGAATGATTATTGAAGAGATAATCTAAGTTGATATATTTCCTCAGGCTCTAAAACCATATTCTCCTGTTCCCCCAAGATAAAGTGAATACAAATAATTTTCTTTTTCTTTAAATGTTCCTTCTTCAACTGGACACTGGATGCCACTGGAAAAAAAAATATGAAAGAGAAGCCAACCTCTGAACGTTATGGAGGTAATGGGTTTTTTTAAAAATCGAATAAGCAATCAGGAAACCGTGAAGATAGCAATAATCAAGGGAACTAGTAGCAGTTTAAAATGTAATATGAAATTAATTCAGGGATTTACTGTAAAATATATTATAGAATTTCTGAGCTCAGAAACCAAAACCCAATTCTACCTGGCCTAGGAATAATAAGGGAAATAATTTGGATACACAGAGAAATTTCCCTCGTAAGAACTGGGTTTTTGAAGAGTGCAAGAACTCCCTTCCTGGAGAGTTTGTAGGCTGAAAATTATTTAAAATACAGATTTTTAACTGCTATAAATATTTTATAATACCTTTGGCCCAAGGTAAGATAAAATAAACAGAATTATGTCTTCTGAATAAAAAATAAAAATGTGACTTGTGCATCGTGTTACTTTTGTTTGTGCATATATAAAGATTCACAATTGTGACCCTGTGATTTTGGAGCAAAGACTTGATAATAACTACCACTAGGCACTTCTCATACCTGTCTGCCACCACCAACACCACCGCAGTTTGCCCCACCCTCATGATTTTCATCACCAGCATTAACAAAATATAGTCCAAACCTGCAAAAAATACATAAAGCATCTACCACAAAGAAGGCATTGTGAGATGTACTACAGGGAATGATTAGCTTTCATCACTAAGGATTTTAGATTCAGGTACACCATTTATTATTTTTTCTTTTTTTGAGACAGAGTCTCAGTATGTCACCCTCGGTAGAGTGCCACGTCGCCACAGCTCACAGCAACCTCAAACTCTTGGGCTTAAGCAATTCACTTGCCCCAGAATCCCAAGTAGCTGGGACTACAGGTGCCCGCTACAATGCCCAGCTTTTTTCTTGTTACAGTTGTCATCATTGTCGTTTTTGTTGTTTATCTGGCCCAGGCTGGGCTTGAACCTGCCAGCCCCAGTAACCACTGTGCTACGGGCACTGAACCAACACTATTCTAATAGCCTAATAAGGTATTTTTTATAAGAAAACCATTTTTTAAAATATTAGGGAGCACTTCTGCTTCAGATCAAGATGGAGTAACTGGTGCTGGAATAATTACCCCAGCATCATTAACTATACAATATATTTTAAAAATTGTTTCCAGGCAGTGGAGAGCAGGTAATACATGACTGTGATCCCTGGAGGAAAGGAAGCTTACAAAAGTGAGCGGTATCATCACCCAGCTCTCTCCTTAGGGACAATTTCCTTACTATGGCCCAAGCAGAAGACCAATAAGCAATCTCACTGATCTAACAAAGCAAAAATCATAGTGAATTTGGAGCATTTAAAGCCACTCACCTGAAGCTTCAGGAAAGGGAATCAGAGAGTCAAGAGCTACATGTAGAAAGAGCATGTTTGATGGAGGGATCTGTCAGCTATGACTACCAGCTAGACTGCTCACATGATAGATGAGAAGCCATTACAGGATGGAAATGAAACTGATACTAGAGGGTGATCAGGCTTGAGAATGAGCAGTAGTACCAAGAGAGTGTTCTTTCTGCCTAGTTGAGGTAAGGAGATCTCACTAAAATCTCACTAATACCCCAGCTACCCAGCTGAGACACTGAAAGGCCAAACCTTAAGTGTAAGGATCACATACTTGAATGAGACCTACACTAGATCTGGCTTAACTGCCCAAAACTAAGCCCTGACCATGTTCATAAGGAAGAGAAAAATTGAAGACAGACTTGCAAGACACATCTACTTTCCATAAATCTACACTACCAAAGTGTAAGATCAAGCCTACCTATGTTCAGGATGATCCTCCTTGAGTTGAAATGCCTACTAGAAAAAAAACTTAGCATTCTTCAGAAGATGAAAGAATCTGGAATCTTTATAATAACTTGTATTCAATTAAAAAAATTTTTTACTCATACAAAGACATGGGAAAATCTTATCAATGTTCAAGTGAAAAAAAAGAAGACGATAATTGAATTTGACATGGGCTAGAAGTAGAAATCTACCAACAAATATTTTATAACAGCTACGCACAAACACATTCAAAACATTAAAGGAAAATATGTTCAAAAAACTAAATCACTGTTGGTATTAATCATCAACTTCCATCAATATGCGATTAAAATAGTAGGTGAAAGGTTAATTGGGGACTCACTGGCAGTAACATAAATATTAATAGCCTCTCTGAAAGTGCGGCAACCAAACATTGTGTATTTCATGATGTGATACAAAAAACAAACACACACACACACACATAAAAACTTTGGCATATCCTTGCTTAAAAAAAAGTTAGCCATAATCCAATCAAGCTTCTCTTTATCAATTTATATTTAAAAAATATAGGGATAGAAATTAAACAAAACTATGAATAAGAAATAAACCAAATCTAGAATATAGAACATTCCACTAGATGGATAAAACAGTTTATCCAATAAGTCAATGGCATGGAAAGAGAGAGAGAGAGAGAGGAAATCTGCTACATATCAAAGGGACTAGAAACATAAGAAAAAATGCATTTTCTAATTTATTAATTTTTTTAATTAAGATCTAAATAATCAATGGAGAAACTGAATATGGCTTTTGTATCTAGATGATGTTAAGGAAATATTGATAATTGTGCTGAGTATCATAATGCCATGGTGGGCATAGCTTTTAAAAATGTCTGTCAATCAGAGAACATACTAAATACTTATATGTGGAATATATAGACACACAACTTACACAACACAATACTAACACAACACCTAGAATTTGCTCTAAAGATTTTCAGCAAAAAAAAAAAAAGGGCTACAGGTAATATAAACCAAAAAAAAGCAAAATGATGGTGTTGAAGATGGATGGTGGCTACAAGGGGATTCACTCTGCTTTTCTCTCTACTTTTGTGTATGCTTGAAATTTTCTACAATAAAAAGTTAAAAAACACATAAGTAAAAATCAATTCAACTTTAAATTTTAAAAAATATATATATGCTTGGGCAGTGCCTGTGGTCCCATATACCAGAGGTGGCAGGTTTAAACCCGGCCCCAGCCAAAAATAGCCCAGAAAAAAAAAAAAAAAAAATATATATATATATACACACACACACATGTGCTTCAACTTTGCAACTTAAGTCCTAAAAATTTCACTATGCAATGTTCGTGTATTGAAATAATTGAATATGACTAAAAATTCCCAGCAATAGTTTATTTAAATAAATAGTGTGTAGCCCTACTACGAAGCACAGAAGTATAACGAAGTAGATACGTATTAATATAAAAGTTGCACATGATATGTTTAGCAGAAAATCAGAGAACAAACTCCATGTTCCAATTTATCTTATATATCAATTTACTATCAATATACATATACATAGGAAGAAATTCTGAAATGTTATACAACAATAATATAAATAAAAGATATGTTTAGGTTTGTTTGGTATTGCTGTTTTTGTTTATCTGTTTTTTTCTAGATTAAATATTTATGGCACACTTTAACTAATCAAAGTCTAAATAATTTGTTTAAACTAGCACCTGGAAACGTTTGCCATACCATTCTTAATTTTAGTGTAAGTTCAGAAGAGTTCGAAGGGAATGTTGGAATAGAACAAAATTCTTCCTTTCCGGTCAATCCTGGAAGAATTCCCAATGGAAGTGTCCAAAGTCCAAAATAAAATCTTCAGTACCCTCCTTCTTCAATCGAGTGCTTCAGTTTGTTTAATATAGAGAATCCTCAGTAGTGCCTGATGAACCTCCTTGTTCTTCAGGGTGTAGATCACAGGATTAAAGATGGGGGTGACCACAGTATAAAGGAGGGAAAACACCTTAGAGAGGAGCTGGGAGTGGACAGCAGAGGGTGCAGCATACAAGACCATGAGAGTTCCATAAAATGTGGACACTACAGCTAGGTGAGAGGAGCATGTCGAAAGAGCCTTTCTCCTACTGGTTCCAGCAGGAACTCTCAGCACTGCTACCATGATCCGAGCATAAGATGTCAGAATCAGTCCAAAGGGAACACTGAGGCAGACCACAGAAAGAATGAACGTTGTCACCTGGGCCACTCTGGGATTTGAGCAAGCCAGGCCTACCACTGGCATGAAGTCACAGTAAAAGTGATCA